TCTCCACAACCTTGCCAGCATTTGTTATTTTCTGTCTTGTTGAACTTTGATACTAGTGCTGGAACAAGATGGTATCTCCTTGTTGTTTTGATTCTCTCTAATAGCTAATGATCGTGAGTATTTCTTCATATGTTTGTTGGCCGCTTGAATATTCTCCTTGGTGAAGTGTCTATTTATGTCTTCTACCCATTTTTTAATTGAATTGTTTGTCTTTTTGTTATTGAGGTGTTAAGAGTTTTCTGTCAATTCTAGAGATAAGTCCCTTGTCAGATATATTATTACGAAATATTTTTTCCTGATTTGTAGGTTCTCTTTTGACTCTTGGAGAAGTCTTTGGAAGCACATAAAAATGTAATTCTTAGAAGGTCTCAATCATCTGGTTTCTCTTCTGTTGTTTGTGCATTTTGTGTTATCCTTGATAGTCTATTTATGCCGTATATTAGGGCCCTTAAATTTGCCCCTAGGTTTTGAGGAACTGTGTAGTTTTAGGTTTCCTATTTAAGTCTTTGATCCATCTGGAGTTTGTTTTTGGGTATGGTGTGAGGTACAGATCTTGTTTCATTTTTCTACAAATGCATCTCCAGTTTTGCCAGCACCATTTATTAAACAAACATTCTCTTCCCCATTTAATGGATTTGGGGCCTTTGTCAAAGATCAGCTGACTATAGGTCAATGGATCTATATCTGGGTTCTCAATTCTATTCCATTGGTCTATATATCTGTCATTGAACCAATACCAGGCAGTTTTGACTACTGTGGCTGTATAGTAGGTTTTGAGATCTGGCAATGTGAGACCTCCTACTTTGTTTTTCTTCTTCCGTAGTGCTTTGCTTATCCGAGGTCTCTTTCCTTTCCATATAAAGTTAGTGATCGTTTTTTCCATATCCCTAAAGAATGTTGATGGGATCTGGATTGGGATTGCATTGAATTGGGTAGAACTGACATTTTCATAATGTTCAGTCTTCCTATCCAAGAGCATGGGATGTTCTTCCATTTATGTAAATCTCTTATGGTTTCTTGAAGTAGTTTTTTACAGTTTTCTTTGTAGAGGTGTTTTGTGTCCCTGGTAATAAGATTTATTCCCAAGTATTTTATTTTTTAGTAGCTATTGAGAACGGTATTGATTTCCTTATTTCTTTTTCAGCAATCTCTTTGCTGGTGTAGAGGAATCCAGCTGATACTTGGATGTTTATCTTGTATCCTGCCACAATGCTAAATCTCTCAATTAGTTCCATTAGATTTTTTATTGAGTCTCGGGTTTTCTTGTATCCTATATTTTTTATATGTTTACAGCAGTACATCATAGCAAACTGTCAGAAATTCAAATTCAAGCAAGATTCACAAGAGGTATAGAAAATGGGATGACATTGCTGATGTCAGATAGATCTTGGCTGAAAGCAGAAAATACTAGGAAGATATTTACCTGTGTTTTATAGCCATTCAACTCTGTGGATCATAACACATTCGAATATTGGAATTCTAAAACACTTAATTGTGCTCATGAGGAACTGCTACATAGACCAAGAAGCAGTCATTCAGACAGAACAAGAGGATCCTGCATGGTTTAAAATAGGAAGGGTGTACATCAGGCTTGTATCATTGCACCATACTTAGTTCAATCTGTGTACTAAGCAGATAATCCAACTAGACTATTTAAAGAAGAACACTACATCAGGATTGGAGGAAGACTCATTAACAATTTGTGATATCTGGATGGCACAGCTGTGCTTGCTGAAAGTGAAGAAGACTTAAAGCACTTACTGATGAAGATCAAAGACTATACCCTTCATCATAGATTTCACCTCAACATAAAGAAAATGAAAATTTTCACAACTGGGCCAATAAGCAGCATTGTGATAAATGGAGAAAAGATTGAAGTTGTCGAGGATTTCTTTAACTTGGATCCACAATCAGTCCCATGGAAGCAGTAGTCAAGGAATCAAATGACATATTGCATTGGACAAATCTTCAAAAGACCTCTTTAAAATGTTGAAGAGTGAACATGTCACTTTGAAGACTAAGGGGCCCCTGACCCAAGCCATGGTATTTTCAGTCATGTTGTATGCATGTGAAAGCTGGACAGTGACTACAGAAGACTGCAAAAGAATTGATGCCTTTGAATTGTGTTATTGGAGAGTAATACTGAATGTACCATGGGCTGGTAGAAGGACAAACAAATCTGCCTTGGAGGAAATACAGCCAGAATGTTCCTTAGAAGCAAGAATGGCAAGATTTCACCTCTCATATTTTGCACATTATTAGGAAGGACTAGTCCAGGGGGAGGGGCATCATGCTTGGTAAAGTACGTGGTCAAACATAATACCTTAACAATTATGTAGATGGTCCAAGACCAGGCAATATTACATTCTGTTGTACCTGATGTATCACTGTGACTCAAAACCAACTCAGTGATACCTAATAGCTTCCCTCACTCATTTATCTTTGAATTTAAACAATTTACCAAGTTCCAAATACGAACATCATTTGACAAATGTATCCAAACATACCTGCCAATTGATGTGATTTTTTTCCCTAAGTTCCAACAGATTTGTGTTGTAGTTTTCTTCCACTTTTATAGTAACCCATGTATTTCTTCATTACATCATAATAGTTTCCCCTAAAGAGGGACATTGACTGAGAACAGAAACTGATATACCCTAGAACTTTGATTTTTAAGTTGACATGTAGGTGGTATATTAAAATCACCAGAACTGCTTTTTCCAAATTTACACTTGCTTTCCCTAGGAGATACTATGTGTTGAATTCAGCCATGGTTACTCATAGGAATATGTTGGATCAGGAAGAAAAAACCTGATTAGCCAGCAGCATAGTTTCTCCTTCTCACGAATGTTCATCTCCAACAGAATACCAATGTTATTTTCCAAGTGTTTCTGACCCACCCCCAACAGTGGTCCCAGAATTATCAAAGGCAGAGGGAGAAAAATGGCTATCTTTGGAGATAATCATTGTGGCATTATGTTTTCTGCATAATTATATGTGTCTGAAAGTTTTTTTTTTTTTTTTAATGATTGCGAATTGTGGGAGAAAATGAAGATTTAAAACTGTGAGAGTAACTCATTGTGTGTATGGTCACCAGCCAGTGGTTAGCTGCCTGCCTCATGGCAATTACATTCATACCTTTTGATGACACAGTGAAAAAACAAAGCTAGTTTAGTTCAGCACGTGTTGTACTTATTCATTTACTGGTTTGATGGAAAACATGTTCTATAAGCTTCTCTACATTAACCAGTTAATTCCAGTGTGAGTGGTGCATGGGTCTTCCTGGCTAGCATCCTGCAGAAACTTCAGCTCCTTTCCTCAAGAGCTAGCTGGGTATCTGCTATAGTAGGTTTATAATGCTCACCTTGAGTTTCAGTGCCTTGCAATGGGAATAATATGGTAGTGTCATCCTAGTTCCAGTATTTTGTCCTGTCACTGATATAACATGCTCTTTATACAAGTGGAAACTATCCCTATATATCTCAAAAGTTACAGCTTTTTCCAAATCCTCAAGGGATTAACAGGAATTAATAGACAGGTTCTTGTCCCAGTTCAGAGCAACTTTCTGAACAAAATTTGATTACAAATTGTAGAAGAGAGCAAACTAAATTGAATTGGAAAACCCTGAGGTAATACTGACTTTTATTTTGCTGTAAAGTATGCAGAATCTTACAACTTTAAAGGACTTCAGAAATCATTACTCAGTAATTTAGAGCAGTCTCCATAAATGAGGAAACTGAGACATGAGAATTAACATGATCTACTTACTTCATACTAATTAGCTGTAGACTGTGGATTAGAATGTGATTTCTGTTTTCAAAATTTTTGTTTTAACTACATAATTTTCACCTTAAAAAAAAAAAAACCTCCAAGAAGGAGGTGGCACTCACTGATACTTTTGTTGATATATTATATTGAACCCTGCTTTTTTGTATCAGTGGATTGATTGTTGGATTGAAATAATTCAGTTGAACTTTATGTATTCATCTTTTATTTTTCATTTTGAGTAACACTTAGATCCAGGCTAATTACTACTGTTTGCATTTTCAAGATGGTCACTGGCTAGGAATGCTTTGAGATGCCAGTAATAGCACATGAGTGATGCTGTATTGGATTTTGCTTTTTGTAGCTAAGGTTGTGCCCCAGCAGATCACACACACTTCTCCTCGGATCCAGCCTGATTACCCTGCGGAGAGGAGTAGCCTGATTCCCATTTCAGGACATCGGGCCTCTCCGAATCCTGTGGCCATGGAAACCCGAAGTGACAATAGGTAGGTGGGAAAATACTAGTTACGCCGCCCCGTTGTGTCATTTATAGTGTTCGTTTTTCAGTAAAACGTATGAAATATATTTATTCATATTTTCAAATGTCTCCTGGAAACAACACACATTGTATAATTTCTTTTTTATGTGGAGAGTAAAGTAGGTCTCAAATGATAGGGAAATGTGCTATTCAGCATTTTCTTGTTGATGGATGGTCTCCTACTTTTATTGTTTTGCTAGTTTACTTTCGTGTGTGTGTGTGTTGTGTGTGTTTTTCTTTTTCTTTTTTTAAGCATTTGAAGGTTGCAGCATCATAGCCCCTTTATTCCTAAGTATGTCTGTTTGTATCTATTAAGAACAAAAGCATCTTTAATCACAGTACAGCTGTGTGAACCTATTTTTAGATTTTTCTTGTCTTTCATACATTGATATTTTTAACAAGAACGGGTCAGTTGTGTTATAGAGTATAAATTTGGATTACTAAGGTGATTTCCTAATGGGTACACACAGGTAATGTATTTTTGGAGGGAACGCCACTTAAATGTTATTAAGTATTACTACTCTTACTGCATATGAGAGCTTTTTTTGTTTGTCCCATTATTAGTTAACATTGACTGCTTAGCTGAGGTGATGTTTACTAGTATTTTCTACTACAAGGTAACTTTTTCTCCTTTGTATATGAATAATCTATGTAAAGATATTTTGAATGTAAATCTCTTGTTCCGTGATAAACTTTCAGTACTTTTACCATCCATTGATGATTCTTGACTGAATCCATTGTTAATCTGTTAGTTGCTGAGCAGTGGTTTTATTTCTGTCATTTCTGCCATATGTTTTTAGTTGATATTCTTACCTACCCCCCCCATTGTTTCTCTAGTTGTTTCTTTTTTAAAATCAGCATTGGTTCAGAGATTTGGTTTTATTTATTATAATCTGTGACTATAATTTATTTTGGTGCTCAGATAATCTCCATTCAGCCCTGGGAATACCACTCAGGCCAGTTCTATGGGTTTTGCTATGTCCCCATCGTCGGAGTCCTACTTTACTACACATTCTTATTAGCTCTAAAAATTTGTAGATTCTTTTAGATTTCTTATGTAAATGTTCAGTTCATGTACAAATAAGGACAGTTTTGGAGGGGGTAGAGGATCTTTCTGTTTATACCTATTTTTTCTTGTCTTATATTGGTTAGAGCTTCCAGTGCAAGGTTGAATAGAGGCAGAGATAGTGAGTCACCTTGTCTTTCTTATTCATGACATGAATGGTAATGTTTGTTTAAAACATTAAAAGGAAATCTGATGTCTACTCTAGGATAAGCCTTATTTAAGTATGATGTGTTTAATTTTATCCAGCACTCAATTCCATTTTATTTAGGAATTTTTGTATCAATATAGAGAAGTGAGATTTGTTTATACTCTTTTTGTCTTGCTCTCCAATTTTCATATCAAGCCTATATTAAACTCAAAAAATGACTAACATTTTAAGAGTTAGATCACTTTTTCTGTTCTCTGAAACCATTTGTGTAAGAGTGGGATTATCTGTTTTACATATATTTAATAAAATTTCCAGTAAGAACAATTTGAGATTGTGTTGTGGATTGAGTGGGGAGACTTGATTACTGAGTTTTTGAGTCACTTTTGGTAATTATTCTTGTAAAAAATGATCCATAAAAATAATTTGTTTGAAAATGTATTTATATAATTATTTATAGTATCCACTTATTTTTTTAAATTTTTTTAGGTGTGTTTCCTTTGATCTAATATTATTTGTTTTATACACAATTTGGGAAATGGTAGTACAGTAGTTACAAAGACTATGAAGAAGATCTAGAGGATAGTATATTTAAAGATGAAGAAGGAAAGAGACCATTTGTCTCATTATCACCCATGTTCCATCTATAGACCGTCTGTTCCTGTTCAGTTCCAATACTTTTTGCCAACTTACCCACCATCTGCATATCCGCTGGCTGCGCACACTTACACTCCCATCACTAGTTCAGTGTCTACTATCCGACAATATCCAGGTATGATCCTCTTTCTCTAAGATGGCTTTTAACATTCTAATTTTTGGAAGTAGTTTATATTTCTAGGATGATACGTAATTACTCGAGCTTCTATTTTCAGATTCAGATAAAACTAAAATTTGAAGCTTTAAGGGCTTAAATAACCATCCTTGTGACCTAAAAATTTGTGTCTTATTAGTGACAATCACAAAGTTTTATCTCATTCTGAGGATAATCCTATTACCAATTTTTATTGCACCTTGAAATGGTAGAAAAATTTTAGTGAATAGAGCTGTACTCCTATGGAGTTCTATTGTTTTGTGGGATATCTGAAATGTTTTTGTTGTTCTTTTGGTTTGGGGTGTGTGTGTGTGTGTGTGTGTGTGTGTTTCAGTTTTGTCCAGTTATGTTTAACACTTACCATCCTGACAAGTAAGTAATGTTACTTTTCCCAATTTCAGGGCTTTTATGTAATCCTTCCCTGTGGACCACTAACTTAATTTAGGCATCAGACAACCAGGTGGACCAAAGAAAGGCTTTGTCTTTCTGTCCTTGAGTTGTCTCATACAGCAGCCATGAGCCACACAGGGCTGTGGAAAACTTGAAATGGGGTTAGTGCAACTGAGGGGCTGAATTTTTATTTTGATTAAATTAAAATTGGGGAAACAAAATGTATGTGGAACAAGGTGGCAATGTGAAACTACCTTTTCAGTTGTAGATGCTGTGACATCAAAATACGTATCAAATAATGTGTAATGAAAATTCAGTATCTGAGTTGTGATGTACACATACTACTTTTTGAAAACAGTTCAGAAAATAGAACTGTAGAATATAAATAGTTTTTATATTGTATTTTAAAATTGTAGGGTTTTTTTTTGTTTTTGTTTTTATGTATAGGGTAAATGCAGTAATTATTTAAACTAATTTCACTTTTTTTTTTTTTAAATGTGGCTGCTGGAAAGTTTAGGTATAATGTGACATATTTTCACAGGACAGTGCTGGGCAAAAATTTTCAAGATTACAAGATACTTAAGATACTTAAATTACAAGATATTTAAATACATAGCATTGGAAGCAGGTTCCTCCATGTATAGCTCGTTTTGATAACTGAGAAGAAAAGTCATTTGTGTTTGTTTCTTCTCATGAATAATTAGAAATCCTTTCTTTTTGATGCTTCTTGGTAATGCTGTTTGCTTTCAGTGTTTTGTTTCTTTCTTTGTTTTTAATATGCATGGTAGATGATGTGTTGGTCTTGTAGAAAAAAAAGGAAATGTATTCATTCCCATCAGTGGATATGCAGTTTAAAATTCATTTTTAAGAAGTTCCTGTGATATTTGTTTTATCGGTTAAAGTAAATATTCTTGACCTACTAGTCATGAATATTTCAGATGTTATTTATATGTTAAATATTTAGCACAGTGCCTGGCCCGTGATTGAAATTTAGTAGTTAATTGCTTTTTTCTTATTTTATTTCAAGTAATCTTATATAAAAAAATAAAATAAAAATTTTTTATCAAATTTGTAGGGAGTAGGGAAGAGAACAACCAACCTTGTTTTTAATTAATCATTGAATGAGGATTTAGATTTTATACAGTAGAAAATTCTGTTTTTATATTAGATTTGTTTGGAGTTTTTTTCCCTTCTTTATGTGGACTGGTTTTTATCAGTGATAACATCATTGTTTTAGTCACTTTTACATTATTGTTAGTTTCAGCTCAAGCTCCAAGCTCTGCCATCACAGCTCAGACTGGTGTTGGGGTAGCATCTGCAGTACACCTAAACCCCATGCAGTTGATGACAGTGGATGCATCTCATGCTCGACATATCCAGGGGATCCAACCAGCACCCATCAGTACACAAGGGATACAGCCAGCCCCCATTGGAACACAGGGAATACAGCCAGCCCCAATTGGAACACAGGGAATTCACTCAGCAACCCCAATCAACACACAGGGACTGCAGCCTGCACCGCTGGGTACTCAACAGCCACCACCTGAAGGAAAGACTTCAGGTAATTTTAATGTTTTGCATGGAAAACAATGTTGAGATTGTGCCAACTTGCTGGTTTTGTAATCTGAGATACTTTCTCTAGGGCTTAGTTTCATCTTTATAGCATGTGTTGCTTAGAACTTACCTTCCAGGGTCATTGTAAACATTAGAAATAACATAAACAGCCTAATATGGTATAGGGAGTAAATTAACTTTAACTGATAGAGTCCACATTCAACTTAAGATTTTTTTAAGGGTTGCGTATAAAGCTTTAAAATCTTAACAATATTAGCTAATATTGTGTCAGTATTTAAAAAGAAATGGAATAAGTCATTGTGCTTAGAGTATTTGTAATTTTCTGATATAATTAAAGATAGCTATTTTTTGGCAAGGATATTGATTTTTGGTATTAACTGTAGCACAAAGAGAGCAATTTGGAACTAATTATTTTAATTGCCAGGTAGATGGTGAATAATACTACCTGCTAGAAAACTCACTTTATTATTTGAAACTTCAGTCATTTGAAATTGCCATTTTTGTAGGTCATATATGGACAAATTCCTGATTATGGTATGATTAAAGATGTAGTGTGGTTAAAATTAATTATTGAATGGTGTCCTCAAACTAGACCAGAATGATTGTCCCAGTATTAGGGCTTGACAGGGAGTGGTGTTTTACAAAAATGTAGGAACATGTTTCTTGAAGTATGCTTTGGAGTATGCTGTCAAGCTAACAGGACTTGTTTCCTATTTGTGGCACTCTGTTATATCTAAAATGGAAATAATAATTGAAGGTAAGAATTACATTAAAAATGTAAAGCACTATGTGCAGTGAGATATTCCGCTAAATATTCTATATACTTTATATACCTTAAGGAGCTGTTGTGCGTGGTGCCTAAGGCATTTGACTGCTAACCAGAAGGTTGGTGGTTCAAAGCCACCAGCCGCTTCATGAAAGGAAGATAGAGCCGTCTACTTCCATAAAGATTTACCACCTTGGAAACCCAAAGGGGGTTGCTATGAGTCGGAATCGACTCTGTGGCAGTCAGTTTGGTTTTTGGCTTGGTTATGTACCTTATCTTGTTTTTACTATGATTATAAAGCAAAGGAAAATGAATAGTTATGATCATATGTCAGTAGACTTAGTGACATCCCCACTCTACCATCTGCTTTTAGGCAGATGAACATTGTGCTCCCATCCTTTTAAGTTGTTGTAAATACAGGGTTTTAACATGGATATTCTGATGCCAGTGGTCTAATCCTTTTTATGTATGTCTTCTGTGATACTGGTAAGGTCCCTTCCATTTCCCTGTCTTCATTGTTCTTTCCTGGCCCTTCCCCTTCCTTCAACAGTCATGTTGGCAGATGGAGCCACAATTGTAGCCAACCCTATTAACAATTCATTCAGTGCTGCTCCATCAGCCACCACTGTGGTACAGACCCACAGCCAGAGCTCCAGCACCAATGCTCCAGCCCAGGGCTCATCACCCCGGCCGAGTATACTCCGGAAGAAACCTGCCACTGATGGGTGAGTAGACTCAGTAATGCCAATTGACACCTCGGGTTTATGGTATAATATAAACAATAGTCACTCATCCAGTGTAATTGTTGTTGTTAGTTGCCATTCATTTGATTTCAATTCATAGCAACCTCATGTGTGTAAAGTAGAACTGCCCTGTAGGATTTTCAAGTGTATGATCTTTTCGAAGCAGATTTTCAGGCCATCTTCTAAGGTGCCTCTGGGTAGTCCTTTTGAGTAGTAGTCAAGTGCTTAACTGTTTGTGCCACCCAGGGAACTCCTTCAGTGCTGGTAGAAAAATCTGATTTCTCATCTTTTGTGGCATTTTTTAATTTCCTCCAAAATAACTTGACTACAGATTTATTCAGTAGAACCTTACCAAGCACAAGCTATAGGGTATTAAGAATCCACAAGTCCATGGTGTATTAATTTATAAGCAACTGTTGCATACTACTAGTTCTGGGATTTAATCCTAGAACCTTAAAATAGCTTATAGTTAACTCGGGCTTGTTTAGTAGGTACATTAGCATTACCATTATGTTTTTTTGTTACAGTCCAGGATGAAGGGTAAGCAGTTTCCCAAGATTATTAAGACTTATATTGGGTAGCTATATAAACAATGAGCTCTGGTGGCTCAGTGCCTAAGGCACTTGACTGATAAGCAGAGGCTGGTGGTTCAAACCCACTAGCCACTCCTCAGAAGTTAGGTTGAGCAATCTACTTCCATAGTGATACCGCATTGGAAACCCAAGGAGGGGTCGCTATGAGTCGGGTCCAACTCAATGGCACATAACAACAACAACAACAACATATAAACAAAGTCTGGATTGGTGAGTCACAGGAAGATATGTGCCATACTTTGAAACTAACTTTAAATTTTGTAGGGTGAGAGATGAGCAGTCCACTTTTAAGAGAACACAGTTCTATGGCTTCATTGAGCTAATAGCTTAACATTAGAAGATTTCATAGAGTAAACTTAAATTTCTAGGACCAGGGCCCATAAAAGGTGTTCAGATGCGTAGAGTGCTGTCTAGACTCAAGTGTCTTTGCTCATTTGTGAATGCTTTATAAAGAATATCTTTTCACAATAAATCAGTCCATGGTGACATAACCTTACTGATAAAAACACAAGGCAAAGCTTACTAATGAAGAGGACAGATTGAACATACACATCTCAGTTTATCTCTTCAAAACCCTGTAGAACTTCATTATAGAAAGGTTTTGTTTTTTTTAATTAGAAACACAAGGAAGCGAAGACCATAAAAGGACTCAAAAACAACAAAACTTTGGAAGTTGGAAAGCAGATATGCAAATTATTTCTCACAAGCAAATGAGAAAGCTGAATTTTAAGCCTATACAGGGGAAAGTTGAGAACTATCATCATTTAAGTTACAGTATCTTCAAAAGGACTAGGAATGGGCTAGGTTGGGTACCTCTAGAACTGGGAGTGAAAGAAAGGGCTTGCTCTTTTAAAGAGGCTAGGCTAAAATCAGGGAGCCCTGGTGGCACAGTGCTAAGCACTCAGCTGCTAACCAAAAATTCCATGGTTCAACCCACCCAGATGCTCTGTGGGTGAAAACACCTGGCGATTTGCTCCCTGTAAAGAACCAATGCTGTCAGTGATAGGATAATATTCATATGACTACAAGGAAGACCCGTTAATATGACTGTTATTCAAATTTATGCCCCAACCACCAAAGCCACAGATGAGGAAATTGAAGAATTTTATCAGCT